CTGCAGCAACTCCGTACATGGGTTGCCAGCTCTACCGACTGAGCTACCTGGGCGCCCTCATTCTGTTGTTTAATGTCCAGTGTGTAACATTTAGGAGGATCTATTGGCAGAAATGGAATATAATATTCATGAACTCATATTGGCTTGGCTGCTGCTATTGTCATCTCATAGGAGGGCCACTTTAATGTTAATGTTTACTTAACAAATGATACAAAAAACATTTTTGTATCATCATTTTATATCATCTTTAAAAACCTGCTGTCTTCCTATCAGCCCTTTGCAAGTAACAAAAAAAAATCATTTCATACGGCCCGAATGAAATTAGTGGCTGGGCTTATTAGTTATGACAGGCCTGCAACAGCCAGCGACATATACCTGATTATTATTTGGTTTTTTAGAGTATTTGATTTCTTGATAGCTGGGAAGTAAAGAGAAGAAAGGACACAATGAGACTTACAGTAGAAATGTTTGGAACCAGAGGTATTACTGTACATATTGATCTCCTCACATACATTTATATATCACACAACAGAATTTAAAGAACTGTATTAAATAAGCCTCCCAAAGGATCATTTTTGCACTTGTATTTATTTCTAGAGAAAACAGTGATTTACTCACGATGACGTGAATATAAGTCAAACCTCAACAAACCTTGCAGGTCACATACTGTTGCTTGAAAGACACTTCTGAAGTCCTTTGAGTGTCTTTTAAGCATCAAACACTCACCTCCTGCAGACTGGAGAGGTGGTTCTGAAAAGTTTTCAGCCCGCTCCTCCACATTCTTAGCATGCAGATCAACGGCTGAAATCTGGATTATGCTTCAGGAGTAGTTTGGGTGTTCTGATACATTTTGACCTTGACGTCTTTTTGCTGTGACTTTGGGTCGCTGTTACAATTCATTAACTGCTGCGAATCCAAGCTGACTGCAGCTGCCGTTCTATATATTAATTTGTGGAAAAACTTTCATTAAATATCGATTAAATAAAATTAACTAATTAGTCGCACAATTTTCTGTCAATAATTGCAATTCGTTGCTTTTTTCTTTTTAAGCCTGACTGTTCTAAGAATGGATATTTAAATGTAAAAGCATGGGATTAATGTAGAATCAACACAAAGGAAGTATATTTAAATTCAAGTACTCTCCTGTTTTCCTCACATTTAGTGCGCTGTGATGCCCAGATAATTGTCAGTCCAATGGTCCCCTGTGGGAGCAACGTCCTTTGCTTGCTCAAGCATGTTCATCCTCCGTGCCCTCTCGCCCTCGTACAACAGCACGATGGTTCCTCTCAAGGGTGGATTATAAGAGGATTCTCCCGATTCAGTTCCAATGATCTCTCTCAATCCATCGTCTTCGACTTTGTCTTCAACAATGGTGGCAGTCAGTC